ATTGATGTTTGAATGATAAAGCATTATTTTCAAAAACTGCTGCTCACATCATATCGTATGACAAATTCGTCACACGCAGCCATGAAAACTAGTCAGGGAATTGTAAATATATAGTGGGTCACAGCCATTGTTATTTAACTGCTAAGAGTTTGTTTTCTTTTTAAAGGAGTTGTATGCTTGGTTTCATCTGTCTTTTCACTTTTTTTTTTTTTTAATAAACTACAGCAAATTTGGGAAAATCTGCAAAACAAAAGAATTCTGAGTGTTTTAAACAAGTAAACCAGTAACAGTTTAAGGACTTTTTTTTTTTTTTTTCCAAAATAGCTCAGTCTTTGATGTGATTCTGTATACTTCACAGCTTGCCTAGAATAAACAGTGCAGTAACAAAAGCGTATTGAAAAGCAGAACCTGGTCCAGCAAGTTCTCCTTTAGCGTAGGCATGCTAAATGTTCATGGCCAGCCAACCCCCGAGCTCTCTTGCTGCACAGAATGACCTGCTCCCTGAGGGCACTGGAATGCTGGATTTAGACCATTTGCTAATTTTATGGTTTGTGTAAAAGACAGACCATTCTCTTGAGCAAACAGAAAAACCTGCCTGTTTCCTCATTGTGCAGTGCTTGGGGCCACATGTTGAACACTACTGAATTTTTTTCCCTGAAGAGAGAATTACTACACTGCCTCCTCAGCTTTAATACAGCCCTCAAAGCAACACGGGAACAGTTCTAGAGATACTTGTCTTTCTTTACAGCAGCTCTGGGAATTAGAGGATTGAGTCACCTGAATTGCCCATATGAGGGCTGTCACCTAGCAAGAGTTAATTAAACATTAATTTCATTAATTTTGAGTGACCAGTTTGAGACAATAGCTTTCATACTATTATATAGTGCTGTCTAGGTTCAAAGCATAGCTTTTGACTTCAGGCCTACATTTTCCGTATTTAAAACATATGGGCTCAAATTGCAGAAGTCAGGAACCCCCAAAATGAGAAATGCAGTATTAATGGGTACCAGTGAAAAAGCCAGGTATAAGTCATTTACCATTGCATTTCAAAAACATCCTGTGACAAAGACATGAATAAATCATGCTGCTCCAGGGAATAAGATAAGTGCTTTAAATCTCATTTCTCTTCCTTCAACTCTTACTTTCCAGTTGCTGAAACAAATGAGATGGGGGTTCTTGGAAAACAGATCCTTTTAGTAAACAACTTGAATCTTTTCCCTTTACTGCATCATCTTAATGCATCCCCAGATGATCATATTTATTATTATTATTATAAGCACATAGGAGCTCTGCTTACAGACAAAAATTTTATTGTGCCAGACACTAAGCAAAGAGAGAAAAAGATGATCCACACGACAGATAACTTACAGTCTAAGCCTAAAACAAGAAACAACTGGCTGCAGTGCCAGGAGAGTTCAAGGAAACTGCACAGGTCAGCAAGATAAGCCCTAATCTCAGCTCACCAGCAGCTTGGCTGTTGTTAAGTTTTTGGTAGGCACCATTGCAAAGAACATTTGAGGAAGGATTTGAAGACAAAGTTATTCCAGTGTTTGCATGTTTGTGTGAATTTCTCCATACTGTGGAGTCAATGTGGAAGCAGGCATGGAATAAAGAATTAACAGCACAGGCTAGTCCTGTGACTGAACAGACGTTCATCCTCATAGCAGCATCAACAAGACCAGCTGACATGAATGTAGTCTACTATTTGGCTATGCCTGCTCGTCTACAACCATCTTTTGGAGGTATAGTCTAGAAAAAAAAAAGTATTTTTTTTTTATATCTTGATGAAATGGCAGTCACATTTACCTCAGCACCCTTTAAACAGTACAGAAAAAAAAACACAAACAAGAAACTCATCTCACCTTGGATTCCTACCGTAATGCCACTTCTTAGCCTGGAGGATGAAAGCCCTGAATTTACTCACATTTTGTTTACTTAACATTGCATAACAGAAAGGCACTGGAGCAAGATCGAGGCAGAGTGAAAAAAACCCCAAACAATCAGCATTCAGCAGTCAAGTATACACCGCTACCTTGGATGTCCGCTCAGGGGGAGAAAGGGCCAGTCCTCCTGAACTTCATCAGGCTCAACAGGCCTCTAGTTACTGGGGTGGGCGATCCTCATCAGCTGCAGAGCTCAGCAGCTGGCTTCCCTGGCTATGGGAAATGTCAGGCAACCTTAATAATAGGTTTTGCCACCTGTCTCTCTTGTAATTATATTCTTAATATTACAGGCATCATGAAGCTGAGGATGAAAGCGTTGACTAGGACTCGCATTTATACAGGACTCCCATTGATCTGCATATATGTGAAGTTTTCTTATCTGAAAGATGTCTGCCTTCATTAGGGCTGAAATGTTCAGATATGTTGCTTTCCCTGAACCCTATGCCAGTGAAAGGGCTAGATTTTAGCTTCGTGGGGCCAATTTAAAAAAAAATATATATATACAAAGGGCGAGAATGTGCCCTCCTATAATAAAACCCACATACAGGGAATAAGGAAAATGAAATTTGTGAAGAATTTCTCCCGTGCTATTTCTCCCACAGAATTTTCCTCTTACTGTTCGTGAGGGGAATGAGGTTACCCCTCTGCAAGGAAGATTTTGAGGAACTGTCCCAGACATAGTCCCCAGGAACGCATGCAGAGCCCAAAAAACCACCATGCTTTGAGACCAGCCACATGGAGCCCACATGCTCCTGTCAGGTCTGATGCTCGCTCGAGGCAGCTCTATCGGAGCCATACAATCAGGAACTCCCTGTGTTTGTGACGATGCCATATCTGATCCCTTCCTTCCTGGATATAAATAGTTTCATTCTGAAGAACAGACAGTGAGATATTTATCATAATTTCATGTTGCTATTTTTAAAAAATAGATACACAGTTTTGTCATGCACAACTTCCAACAGGAAATATTTTCAGTTTGTGGCAACATAACTCTTACTGACCAATGAAGCATTCATACCCCATTTAGCATATATTTTGAGATGGTTATCCAATTAATATGGACCATTTAAAAATGCCAGGTTGATAGAGTAATTATGAAGTACTAGAAGCATTTTGATTATTTTCTTATTATTTCATTGATTATCAGTAACAGACCAGTGAATTTAGAGAACACTTCAACTGCTAATGTTACTTCTTAGCCTGTGGACAGACTTGCTTCTGTTAACATTTAATGTCTTTTATGAAGGTACAATTCTATCAGGACAACTGAGTTTACTCACCTTTTTGCTTTAGTTATACTGATGGTATAGTTGATTCATGAACATTACAACTTCAATTACTGGCATTTCTTGAACATATAAATACAGAGTTACATTTTTGGATTCCATACATTTATTTTGTCCAACTTCCCAGAGAGAGTTAAAGGGTAAGAATGTTATCCTTCTGTGTGCATTTAAAATGGTTTCCATTATAATGTAGTTTTTCCATAATCGGAAATATTGGTAGGTTGCATGGAATACACATCAAAACAGATGGAAGGAGTTATAACCTTCCCATAGGGTGACAGAAGCTATTCACATCTATCAAGAGGTGAATATCCCATGTGGCAGCAGAGCTACCTGCAAAGCGCTATATGAGGTTTGTGCAAAAAAATACCACCACAGTACTGTTGAAAGACACTAGTAACAGCCCACTCAGCTACAGAAGTGCACTGGTTTTAATCTCTTCTCCTGTTAAGCAGGAATACTTTTTGCATCCCTTCCCATTTACTTCCTAACTTCCCAATAATATACTAATATCCTTCTGATAATTACTTTGTTTTAAAATTATTACTGGTGAGTGTTGACTGTTTCCAAGTGTGGCCTAGTTGCTTGTCCCACATTTTGGGATAGGCCATCACCTGCTTTGTGTTTCCATAAAGTTAGCACTGATGATAAGTGGAAGAACCAAATCCAGATCCTCAACCTGGCTCAGCCAAATGGTCTACAAGTAACTAAGAGCTGAGAGTGAGGCAGTGGGAATGCACACCGTTTTGGAATCAAACCTACTTATTTGTTTTAAGCCCCAAGAAACAGCCATGTTTGATTATATTGCATTTCTTAAGAAATACATCTTGTACTTCACTAGGAGATAATGTGACATTATTAAGTGCTTATAATTGGTGTGGTTTTGTTTAATTATACAGCTCACCCACGCTTTCCTAGTGCATGTCATAGACAAGTTTAAATTTATGAAAAGAACTTAATGTACGTGAAACTTTGGCTTTTAATAGTTAATTTGAAATTTTTTACTTCATCCTCTACTGTTGTCAGATACTATGATGTCACAACAGCTGCTGGTGGTGATGCTTGATACTATACAGAAAAAGCTGTGTTCTGAAGCAAAGGTTAATCAGTAGGAAATAAAAACAAGTTTTCTTTTTATGCAAATACTTGCAGTATAACGTGCTAATATAATTTCTGCGTAGTTGACACAGAAATGTCAACACATTGACACACATGCTAGTATATTGCTTTCATTCTAACATTACACGCATAATAGCAATCAAAACACATTTTTCTACTTTAGCTGTACATTTCCTATAGCATTACAGGATTATTTATACATAAACACACACAGCAAGCTACATGTGGTGTCTGAATTGCGGGAAGTCTATATTATTATGGGCTTCCACTATAAAAATTGCTTTTGGTAACAAAAACCGAGTATACAAAATGTTATGCAGAAGCCAAGCTGTTTAGAAATACAATCACTCAAGCTTTTAAGTAAAGCACAACAGCTCTTTAAGAGCTAGTCCAGAAGCCATCCCACCCTGGAGTTTATATTTACCAAGCCGCCTTCAGCAGCCACTTATTTCACTTTGTTTTGGCTATGCAAGGAAAAAAACAGTATTTTTCATGCTTTTTGGACGATGTTTATAGATTTTTTTATATATATATTTATAATAGATGAAATTCATGGTTTTATACTCAAAGTTTAATTAAGAATTTTATTTCAAAACATTTTGTGAATTGTACAGGTAAGAGCTGTATGTAACAACTTTTCTAAGAAGGCATGTACTTATATTAGTTTAATATTTCCTTCTGAATAGTTGGTGTCAATTTCTTCTAAGAATTTAGGGGGACAGTTCTTAGAGAAAAGGAGGGAAGAGGCAATATCTGAAAAACAGTCCTTACTCATTTGCAATGTAGATAACTTTGTGCTTCTCAATTACTTCTATGTCATGCTCCAGTTGTTTCATCTGCAATTCCAGCTTTTCTTTTTGTATTTTCTTGGGTATGGTGTCTATTGCTACTGAAAGACCCTGAAATTCACGATACACTTCCTCCCAGTTCTTTTTCAGCCCCTAGTGACATTACATGAAAAGGAAATATATGAGAAAAACTTACTTCATTTAAGAATAATATGCACATAAACGACTTGTAGTTTTTTTGTTGTTGTTAATATAGCATTTGATAAGCGTCACTGCAATGTTAAAATAATAGATAAATATATGGATAATGTTCAATCATCTTATAGGACTAAATTAATTAAATGCTTAAAAGTCAAGGTAGTTGCAACAGAAATAATTTTGACTTGTGATGGAGTATAAGGAATGGTCTTTAAAAAACTCAGTGCCTTGGAGAGAAAAAATTACTGTCTTTAAGAGGCAACAAAACAGTAATTAAACTAGTCAATGAAGGACGAGCTACAAAAATGCTAAACTGAAAAAAGTATGTCAATGTGACTAGCAGTCAACTTCATAGCCTACCAGGAACTCAAGGAAGCCTGTACACTTCATTTCCAGTCCTCAGCATCTTAAAGAAAAACTGCACAAGGTAAATAAAGACTGACTCTTCCTTATTCTATATAAGAGACTTTCTGTGCTTTCAGTGATCTACAAGTAAGCAGCTTTCTCTGCTCCATTGTATCTAATTCTGTTATGCTCATTGAGGAACTACTGGGATTCATAAAAGCTGCCTCAAAACTCATATCACTCAAATACCATCTTTTCTCCAAAATGCAACAGGAAATATCTTAGAAACAGCACTACAGAAACCACTTCCCCATAAACAGCAACCTGGCTATCATAGATCACACACAGTAGTGTTACCGACCTTAAGTAATCACAAGATTACTTAGTATTGTTCCAATACTTGGAACACCAGCCAAAATTCAATGGCAGTCTCAGATCACCTCACCACCAGCTTAATTTTTGGTAACTGAGACTTTGCTCAGACCACAGACATTAAACTGATCCCACAATATTTTAACTTCTATGAAGTTAACTTCTATCACTTGGAAGACATTCTAAATAATTGCATTCCCTTCCTAATCTACATTTACAGTAACATCTATAAGCAATGTATTTATCATTTGGTCTAAAAAACCCAGCTGTTGCTGACTCTATAACAATAATTTCAATAACTGCCACCTCTCTTGAAAGCTGCTGTGCAAAGAATTACCTTACTAGATAGTGAACTGTATCGTCCATATATAAAAGCCCAAGACTAAAACCCTGCCTCAAGAAACCCCATGCAATTGTCTGAAACGTACTCATACACCGGTTAATTCAACATTAGAGACAAACTTTTATCCACCAATATATGCTGAATGAAACCAGACTGTGGTAGAAAAATCCTTTACATCCTCACAATTACTGCAGCAATCGCTCTTACTTTCTCTCCTCAAGAGGATAATCAAAATCTACATATCCTGTACATGTATATGTGAGGATTTAGTAGTTTATTCAGTGCATTAAATGTCCTCATGAAAACTATATGGGTGAACTTAATAATCACACCTACTACAAGGAACTCAGCCATATTGTATTATTTACTGATTGCTGTGTATCAGTAAGAAAACACTTTTCCAAAATGTTTATGGCTCTCAATTCTGCTTCCTTAGGGGAGACCACAAAGTATCCTAAAAAAATGAAGAACTGTACTCTCTTGGGAACTAAAGTTTTCAGTTCTCCTCCATAACTAAAACTGGATTCACCTGATGCACTGATTTTATGGCACATTGTGATTTCCGGCCTCATGTCCTTCTTCTCCACTATTATTAAGCACCTTTTCTCCCAGACTGGTTAATTGATTAACATACTGAAGTTGAATTTACAGGAATTATTCCTAATACATATTTAGCTTTGAAGATTGTTGCTTCTATTTCAGAACGCCAGGACTCTTGTGCCTAAAAACTTCTCTGATTTTGACCACTCTATTTTTTAACAGAAAAAAATTACCTCTCTGTGTTAATACTGACTAAGAAAAACAGACTTTTTAATGTGAACTAATACGTTACTGATTCAAAGCAGTGTATTCATTGCATAGCAATTTGTGCTTTTTGCATATTCATATTAAGTGTCTAAGTGTTGTCCACAAAGGTTATTCCAACAATATTCATATGCAAATATTCACATAAATTTAAAAACCCTACCTCAATATGTGCAACAAGCCTATTTATTTACTGTCTTGTAATACTACTTGTCTTTGCAATCCAAAGCTCTAAAGTACTTAAAATAAGTACTTAAAGCAAGCTCCTAGTCTACCAGGCATCAGATATAGTTTACAAATATATAGTCATGTAAATAAATTCCAACATTTTTGTAAAGAGTCATTCATAGTTTCTTTTAAATAATTCTTCTTTGTGTACATTAGTAAAAACTAGTAAAGGCTGGTTTGGAAATCATTGAAAACAGTGAGTTTTAAAACACGTTAGAGCATGCACCCATCACAATTTACTCTAACGCTACAGAATGGAGAGATCAAAAGCAGATCATGACTCCCTACGTAAAAATCTCCCTCACAGCAATGTAAAATGCTGACCACTATTGCTATGGGCTAGATCACAAACCGAGTGAGTATCTAACTCTATATAAGGAATTCTAATACATGCTGGATCAGTGAGAAATATGTACTGCATTTATCAACATACTCTCTTGTTCTCATAAAATCCCAACCAAAGTAAGCATAATGGAGAGAGTTCAAAAAATGTTGGCACAAATTATTCCTCCTTATTTTTGTAAGTTCATGACTCTTGATTTTGTTCTCAGACATCTATTGCCACTTACTCTTTCAAATCACTTAGTGCACATGTGTTGACTAGCAATGTCAATTATTTTACAAGACAGGAATTCCCATATGTCTACAGCTGAGCACTGGGTAGAAGCCATATACCCTGGGGACACTAATTCCTCCTGACAATACAACTGTATAAGTATATTGGCCCATGAAAGAGCAAACTTTTTTTGAAAAATAAAAAAAAATACTGAGTTAATAAAAACAGTCTAAAAACTTTTTAATTAAAAATATTTCAGTGCGTTCTTGTATTTTAAAAATATAGAACATAATTTTAATCAAACTAAATGCAGAATTGTGAGCAGCTGAACTCGCATGCCTTTTTGAAAACACATTTTTGCTGCATAGTTAACTTGCTGGACCATCAGCTTGTCCCATGCCTTTCCCACCATAAAAATATCTTAATCTTCACCCTTGCTGTTATATTCTTTCTATTGCTGTCAATGCAATACCCTTACCTCTCCCATACTCCTTCCTAGCTTCTACTGCTTGCTGCGTAAACAAGAGACACCCTTTTGCTAGCTATTTTGGATCTTGCTGATTAACCAGTTAATCTTTGCAAGTGAATTAGACACTGTGTTTTCTCTCCAGGTATTCTGCTGGCTTTTTTGTGGGAATTTAGCATCTTAGAGATGTCCATCTACCTGCTAATTTGTTTCAGGAGGCTGCTAGGATCAAGTTATCAAGGGACAGACTGATAAACAGATACCACAGTAATATAAGCCTCATTTTCATAGGAAATTTGGCTAAAATGTGGTCACGAGAAATTCCAGTTCAAGGATTGGATATACTTTTTAAATGTCTCTTTTCCGCTCTACTTCTTTTATGGTATTATTTCTCTTTAGAAAATCTTGTGCAATAAAAACTGTATGAAAAACAGTATCTAAAACAGCTTGACAAAATACAATTTTTCCAGTCATAGTTCTACAAATATGTTGCAATTTAATTCTGTTTTCTGGTTTTGCCACATTTTAAAGCATGACCTTATGCTTTAGTGTGAGGTCACAATGCAAAGCTAGAAACTGGCAATAATAGTGGCAATGTTATGCATCAGGAAAAAAAAAAAAAACCAACCAAAACCCAAACCAACTTGTATTTTTCCATGATTCACAAGTAGAGAGTCAGAACTGTCACTAAATCCATATAGGTGATTTTCTGCATTCCTTTGAAGTTGCATCGAATTTCCAAGTCATTAAGGGGGAGAGGAATCTAACAGAATTGAAGTACTTGTAAAACTGGACTAAAACTGTAGCTAGATCAGCTCCCTTCAGTTCAGTTTACAATTGTTCTACAGCTCCATCTAGTGAAAAAGTAGCTAACTAGTTTGCCTCGCTTAAAAAATCTAGTATACTTTTATTATTTATGTGGACTTACATTACCTTATTAATCGATTTTTTGTACATGTTAGTAATTACAATAAATCAATATACGCACCTGCAGAAGACTTCTCCTTTCTTCAGCAGACAGCTGTTTCATAGCTCTTTTCTTGAGATGCTCCAAGATACTGGCCTCATATTCTTTCTGAGCTCTCTTCATTTCCTCATTTCTCCGTGTTATATATTTTGGTGTAACACCATAATCCTGCAAGGGTAAGGAAAAAGTTTCTTATATGTGCTTTTAAGACAGAAACAAAGACATACCTGTCATCCACAGTATATTATATTTGCAAAGACAACTTGAAAATGGAATTTTGTGCAACCGAGTAATAAAATCTTAAATCACTGTGTTCTTAAAGTATCAAATGTGATTGTCTTTGTAGCCTGAGCAAAATGTATAAACAATTCCCTTTGATTTCTTTTTGCAACCTTGGAAGACAACAGAATCCAGAAACCAAAACATCTATTATAAGAACTGATGGTTGAGTGAGGATTTTGAAAACTGTTAATGACAGCAAGCTATTTTACATCTTTATGTGGTGTCGGATTCTACATTCTGAAACACATTCCTTAGATACTTTCTTTCAAAGGTCTTCCTGTATCTTGATTTTTGCCGAGCATTGCATGCCACAGAAGAGAGTGATTAGTATCAACACATACACAAAAATCAGACTGGTTAGGAATGATAAACTATCCTATACTGGATGTGGCAGAATTGTGTTTCTGGGAGAAAAAATAATTTCTGAATATCCCAGATGTACTTGGGGGAACACATCTATTTTGCCTTATGCTTTGTAAAATGAAGCCTCTATAGCTCCACCAGAAGGTACCAGAGTCTTCTGTCTTTCTTAAATAATTCACAAATCTTTTAGTGTTGAGTAGCACTATGACTAGCATTGGTTTTATATGTATGTTTAGCCATGAAAAGGTACTACAAGGGCGGCAGCTTTGCTTTTTTGCATTTTCTCTGTCATGAGTTATGTCATGTCTCTCTCTACATAATGCTCTGTCATGAGTTATCTGTTAAGATAAGATAATCCAGACACCTGATACTTGTTGTTTTCCTGAGTAGCAGAATGGACTGCTCTTGTGCTTGGAGGAAGTAGTCCTTAAAGGCATGCCAGCTCTCTCAAGCTCTTTTGCTGTTCAGAGCTTTCTCCCACAGTGTCCTACCTACTAGTTCCCTGAATAAGCTGACATTTGCTCTCCTGTAGTACAAGGTCTGTACGCTACCACCTGCCTTCCCGAGGAGGAGGGGATCTTGGACTACTTCATGGTCTGTGCAACCAACACTACTATTAATTATCACACCTCTGACCAGCTCTTTCTCATTTGTAAGTAGCAGAACCAGAAGAGCATGACCACTGGTTGGCTCATCTAACATCTGTGCTAAGAAGCTGTTGCTGACATGCTCCAGGAACCTTTTTGAATTGCCTTCATCCCATTGTGTTGTCAAACATGCTTTTGACGCTTACTGGCCTTTCCTCTGATCCTGACCCACAAGTTCAACCAGCCTGTTGCCAATTCCATAGAAGAGCTCCATATACTGGAATAGCTCCTTCATCCAAAGGACAGCCCCTCCTGTTCTTCCCTGCCTGTCTTTCCTAAAGAGCCAGCACTCATTCATCACAGAACTCCATTTGTTTCCCTATTAGATACTCTGTGGGTTCCCAATGCAATACAAATGCCATTGCTTTAGGAGCATCATTCTGCTTTTTTTTTTTGCTGACAGCATAAACGAGTGAATACAGAGCAAAGGTAAGGCATAACTCTACTGCCAGTGATTTCTCCTTGATGAATTTCAAAGGTCTACCACAAACAGCAGTGGTATCTAAACATCTCAGAAAGAATCGTAAACATTTCATAGGAGATGACAATAGAGAACCTAGAACAGGTATTGCCACTATAATTTAATAAAACTTACCTTTTTTTTAATATATTTTGGAACAAGTCCTGAAGTTTCAAGCAGATATTTATCTCCCTGTCTTCTATCAACAGAAATAGGTTGAGGCTTTTTAGGCAATCCCGTGATAGCAGCAACTGCATTTGTATTTATAAAATTCTTTTTACTTTGAATTCCCATAACTGGGTGATCTGTCCTCCGTGGCACTGATAATGCAGGCAATTTCTTACTATCCTGTTCTTTTTTTCCTGTGAATTGAGCATGTAAACATTCTCAGCAGTAACCACGAAGAGCTTTGCAATTTAATGTTACTACATTTTTCAAAAGGGAAAAATTATGTACAAAATTACATAAAAATAGAAACCAACTGTATCTACAATGAAAGAATTGACTGGGAATGTATTATGATGAAAATGATTATGCTTGTTTGGCACAACAGAAGTTTCATAACCTAGCAAATACTATGTCATTTTAGGTAGGTTTGCCTTATAATATGCCACTCATTTCCTCTTAACTGCTGTAGCATGGAACTTCTTTCAAATGTACTTAAAACTGCTTTCACTAGAGATGCTCATCGTCAAGGCCCTTAGGCATTAACAGCCCTGCCCAGCCTCACCTGGGGCATCTGAGGCATTAATGGCCCTGCCCAGCCTCACCAGGGCACGCACCCCACACCCTTGGGCTCAGGAACCCCATTTCAGCTCAGCCTTGGGCTGTCGGTGCCTGGCTGAGCTGTCTCAGCCATGCCTGTCACAGTCCTATGACTGAACAGCTGTGTGGAACCAGTGGATGGGCTTAGCCCGTTACCCCATCTTTCCTGATGGTCACTAGACCATTGACAGGACACATTTTCATCACCACCCTCTCTGCTTGCCTACCTCTGGTGTGGTGGGACTGCACCCTGATGGTGAGGTCGTTGCCCAGCCTGCATTGTGGTTGCCCTCAATTTCTGCCTCACCTCCCCTTGGGGAAAGGCCTTGCTCTTGGCTGCTCCCTAACACTTGTAAACAACTTCTCACAATCCTTTCTCCAGAAAACTGTTCCTTTTTAGTGCAATCTTTTCTCCAAGGCACCAACAGAAACTCAGCAGTCTCCTGACTAGTCTGACTTCAGGTGAGTGATGAAACACAATTAATTTCTCACCGTATTTCCCACTAGATATAATTCAAACTCACAGTCATTGTCAGAGATAATAATTTGATTCAGGTTGTCTGAGTTCATGTTCTTCTTTGGCAGAAAGTACGTGTAATGTCACATGTGACAGAGCTCATTCCTACGACAGCTGGTTTCCTGATACTGACCCCATGAACCAGTGCTTTCCTGGGTTTGGTTTTTACAACCTGATAGCTTGCTGTAACTTAGTACCGTAAGACACACAGACTTAAATCTCTGTTTCTCTTAGGATGTCCTTTTGGAAACAAGATCTCTGAAGCTTCTCAGTGAGCACTGGCTTACCCTTATTGCAGTACATTGGTGCACATGTACTGTTTTGGGAGCCCCCCCCTTCTTCTAGAGCCAGCAACTGAGCTTGGTTAAAATGAATGCCAGAGTCCAGTAACACAACAAGATTCAGATGAAGGTTAAGAAACACACCTTTTGTAAGGAAGTGGTGAGTAATCAGACTAAAAGAATGATGCTATTCCAGACTTTAGGGAAAAAAAAATCCAGTCTTTCTGTTCTGTCCTTGCAATCTAATTTTTAACTAGTTGGATCAAACCCAGTTTTGAAGGCGGCACAGATACCACAGGCACAACGCCATAATCCCATTTAGACAACTGTCAACTGGTTAAATTTCAAGTGATGAAAGTGCCATGCTTTAAAAGAGGTGATTAAGCAGTGTAACTTTTCTGAGGTAGGTATGAAATTCCATCCACCAAAGGCAGAAGAACTTTCTGAGTTAATGATAGAGTTCCTTCTCAAGATCTGTTAGGATCTAATCATTGCAATGAAATTACTAGTCTGGATTGAAGCTATGATGTGTCATAGGCATTTTGAGGCTCTGGTACATTGACTCCAAATGCAAACACCAAAGCACATATTGCTATTATGAAGCCCTGAATGAACAAGTTGAAATAGAAATATTGTGAGCTAGTTGTCTGAGAAAAATGAGTCAGAGTGCTGTATCTCAATATATAGCAAATTTGAAGTAGATGACACTAATTTTATAATACAAGTACTTAAAAGGGATCTTATGGACTACTCCAAATTATTGGTGAATCAGTCTTCTTTCCTATGCCCATCTAAAATGCTAGTGTAGTAATTTAGTAAGGTCTTGAGCTTGCAAGCATTCATGCTGCGATGTCATGCAGTATTACATTCCAGTATACTGAAGGCCGGTCAGATTTCCTGAAAAAGTGAAGGCTTTATTAAAAAAGGACCCAGGATGCCTACAGGACATCTGGGACCAAAGCTTACCTTAAGGTTCTAATAATGCCTCTTTGCCTGAAGCGTTAAGCCTCCAAAGCCTCTGGGGACAGCTTGGATTTTCAGTGCTAAAACCCTTTGCATGTGCCATGCAAATTTGGGTGCCAGAGTCCTACACTCTCTTAGACAGCTTTTTTTTTCCCCATACCGTATGTTAAGCTCTTCTATTTTTCCAGCCTAAAAACAATTTCAAGCTGAAACTTTAGAACTCAATTACAAATTCTGTCAGCAATGTACTTAGAACTCTAGCAGCACTAAGAAGGTCACTTCACCCTTGCAGAACCGGCCATGAGGCTGAACATTAGAACTGTCAGCTCCTCATACCCAGAATTATGGTTTGTGCCCAAAGATAGGATGCATTTTGCAACAAAATATTCCAAATTTCTTATTTCTGTGACATGCAGTTCTCAAAAAAATTCTATGCTTTGAACACTGCCATCCAATCTAATGCTATGGGATTAAGAGGCAACAGTGAGTGCTGAAGAGTAAAAGCTGTATGTTGCTTATAACATCAAGAAAGGCACGCATACTTTTCTCATATCTCTTCAAGCATTAAAAACAACTAGTTCACTTTTAATACCCCCATTCATATTATTTACTTTAATATTAATGATCAGTTGCAGAAAAGAATGGTGTACACATCTAAACTATGTAATTACAAATTGAAGTATCAGCAGGATAGAACATACCATGAACACATCTTCAGCATCTGAATAGCTGCAGCCAAAAGAGATACAATTTTTCTTTATATTTCAGCTGGGTTTGTACCACATGACAGTAAATACTTACAGTATTTTCTAATCACATATATATTCTCCTTGTTGCTTCAGTATTTTACACAATAAAGAGAAACTTTTTTTGTAAAATATAGAAACAATTTTTGTATCATAGATACTATAAAAGGAACAATGGAAACTGCCTCAGCATACAAACATGATTTTAATTTTTTTAAAAATTTGATTATCTGTAATTAACTGTTACTTTCAACATTAATATTATCAATTTTAAAATTTAAAAAAATACATTACGTTTCATATATTTCATGTCTGCACTTACTTGCTGGTAGCTTGGGTTCCTTTGAATGTTTTTGCAGAAATTTTTTTGGAGAGGGCACTGCAACTTTTGCTGGTCCCATAGTTTTCCACTGAGCTTTATTTTTCTCTGTATCACATTTCACAGATGGTCTAAATGTGGATATATACCTTAGACATTAAAAAATAGCCATAAAGAAGTTAAAGGTCAGAAAATTATTAAAAATACTTCTTCAAAGAATATACATTTTTGCAGTAGTTCATGCCAAAAGCCTAAACTATTTTGTTTTGTACTCTCTCTCCCAAATAAAGGCCATCATTCATACAACCTCCATACAAAGGCAAAGCCCATCACTGCACTGCTACAGTGGTTTTTCTGATACTCATGTTAGCTTGCTTCTTCCTTCTTCTCTTGTATCTCCAAGGTCAGTATTATCACACTTTGGGACATGGCTCCTGTGTGCACCATTCATATAAATACTGAACACAGACATTTTGAAACACAACAAAATATACATTTTGGAAATAAACTGCTTTGAGTATTGCTTGCATGAATTCATTATTTTTATGAGGTTGTGTTACACGCTTATGTTGTTATTTTTTAATTAACTCAGTTTTGAAGATTTTTTTTTTTTAATGTGGCTGTTTTGTTCAAAAATGCATCCAAAATATGCAGCTGTTGTGCATCTACACGAAAATAGCAACCATGAACTTCCTTTGCTAGGTTTTCAATACTTGAAAGTTTGTAGTATGAGAAAGATGCAAATGACAATATATCTCGGCTGTTTCAGAAGCTGCAGTTGCAGTACATTTTAGGGCCTTACACAGCAATCAAACACATCTAAGGAAAAGCTCAGCTGGCTTCAAAAAGATGAGATCTGTACTGACAATGAGAACATTCACTGCTTTATTCTATGGGATGAAACATATTTGAGAGGTATGTAAAACCTCATGCTTCAAAAAGCATGTCAAACGTAGTTGTGAGTTGGGACCTAGATCATCAGTTTATCTTATTACTGTCCACTGTATCATTGTTGCAATGTTCTTGTTGAATCATATGTTACAGGCTATTATAAGAGATTAGATGAGATGGATGACTGCTCTGAAATAGCAGAGTAAACTGTATTATTTCTTATATTACACAGATCCAAACTCTGGTCTTCAACTATTTTAATCAGTGGTGGTTTTGGCACCAACTGAAACACTCAATGTGAAAATCAGTAAGAGCTCAGACATGAAAAGCTGTATGCACACGGTATGCACACACTGCTGCTTTGGTGTAATGTTGCATATGGCACTGTAACTTCTGCTTTCGTCAAAAGTATGCAAACATGTTCTCCAAAAGAAGCCAAATGCTGATCATTAGCTGATTAGCAGCATCTTGCCTCTATCTGAAGGACTGAGCTGTCACAGGTGTCACTTAGGTTTTCCTAAGAGAAGAACTACCAGCTCCTGAAGCTAAGGCTACCTCACTGTACCTTTTAAATCTGTCCACCTTTAAGAAACATGCCATATTAATTTACGGTAGAGAAAAGCTGATGAACAGTTGTGCTCTTCTTTCACAGAAAAAAATGTGTTTATGAAAAAACTATGCCATGTTTTCAGGTAAGGAAAAAAAGAATAAAAAAGATTATATATAATACAACCTATTTTACAGAAATACTGAAATATGAAATGATGTAATGCTGAGCCAGTGAATGGGAATCATAGTAGCAACACTGATAAAAGCTTTTGTATGTCAGCTGCAAATGTCTGATACATGATTTGTACTTGATCATAACATTAGAACATGTAAGAGGACTTCATCAAAAATGTGGAGTTGTTTTGTCTTCTGGAGATTTGGTCTCCAAAATCAGAAAGAGGATTATATACACATAAGATTATATACAATTCCAGAAATACCTCTAATTATAAGGAATGAGGTTTTGTTTATGTTTTTTTCTGTTAAATTCATGGCAAACAGCTACAGACATAGGCACAAACCCACCACATTCATAAATAATTCCGTTCCTCACCATTTGCTAGGACTGGCATTGTAGCCACACGGTAGAGAAAGGTAGTGACTTTATGAGGAGTTTAACCCAGTAGGGTTCACGCAGTCTTGGAATTCTCTCGAGAAGGTATGGAGCTTATTACGTATTGGTCTCCAAAATCAGAAAGAGGATTATATACACATAAGATTATATACAATTCCAGAAATACCTCTAATTATAAGGAATGAGGTTTTGTTTATGTTTTTTTCTGTTAAATTCATGGCAAACAGCTACAGACATAGGCACAAACCCACCACATTCATAAATAATTCCGTTCCTCACCATTTGCTAGGACTGGCATTGTAGCCACACGGTAGAGAAAGGTAGTGACTTTATGAGGAGTTTAACCCAGTAGGGTTCACGCAGTCTTGGAATGAGAAGGTATGGAGCTTATTACGTATTGGCATAAGGTAAAAACACCTTTTGTAGACAGCTATAGGCATTCCTTTGGACAAAGAGATGTGGCAGTTGTATCTTTTCAGTGACTATTCAGGCCAAGAAAGTGGCTAAATGCTGTCATACACCAATAACATAAGGTTAGAGGGGGCTGCAAGGAAGAAAACATGGTTATGAGGGACTTGAGAATCTTAATCCATTCATTTGGCAAGGGGAGAAAAGACAATGCACTTGTAAGAAGACAGTTACTACTCCTTAGATGTCATCTTGGGACATCAAAGTTGGGGAAACTGAGGGTGCTTGACTTGGATTCATGAGTAGTACCTGGTCAGTTGAGAGTGAAATATGTATGATTTCATTTGGGGGGGAGGGGCGGGAAAAGACAGACCCTAGATTTTGTATGCATTAGTTAGAACCGGCCAGATCATGCTACTAACCAGGTTCAACACTGTTGTTACCAGCTGGATATTTGGCACATTGCAAACCAAAGCAGGAAGTGGGGTAACAACAGAAGGCAATGAGATCAGAAGGGGATTTAGTCAGATTGCATCCAACCTAAGGAATCCCTTGCCTAAACTGAACCTGATGGTCATGCAGCATCCAAATCCTCGAATGGTAATAACACAGGAATGGATTTAGTGTACTGTGTGCCTTGCCACACTGTCATTTCACTTTCTTCTGCCTGCCAAAAGTATCTTCCATTCACATTGGAAACAACAAAAAGACGTATTATCTATTTTTACATGGAAAAGGTTCAGAACTAGGAATTTCACAAGTCTGAACCTTTTTAACTGAAAAGGGTTAACTATCTTTGTTCTAAGGAGTGTCACTGATATTTCGACTCATTTTAAAGCTATTGAATTATGACCTATGTTAACTTCTCACTGAAAATGCTAACTGTAACAGTTTTCTTTCACATACAATAATAAGGACCCGAAAAAACAACATGTTTGCATAATTATCAAGTTACTTTAGAAAAACTGTCAAAAGAATTAATATTAGGGGGGCAAAAGGGATTTTTAATGTTTTTAAGGTTTAATGGTGTTTTTTTTTTAAGCAAGAGAAGCAAAAGAAACAATGTCAGAAGACACACCTGACACATGAAAGGAATGGGAGTGTGGCGCTGAAAAAAACGTAGAAAAATCCCCAACTTTTCAGCTGCTCACTGAAAAATTGTTTTAAGTGTAAATAACAAATATTTCATGTAATTCCTCTGCGTGGAAAG